TAAATACTTAGAGATCTGTCTTACTCCATGCCATGTGCTAAGGTCAAGTGCAGAACATTGCTTAATAGAACTCTCAGTCTAGTTTAATGCTCAAGATCCCCTCTTGATAGACTATCAGCCATTTCCTCCTAAATTTCAGTTTGACATCCCTCTACTTGACATCAAGAGATAATATTCTCCTTAACTAATGTTAAGGATAACATTAAAAATAAATCTTTTAATGAATCATTCTGACTAATAAAAATAACTATTTAATCAAGTAAATATCAAAGTGACAGCAGTGTAATCAAAAATTATGTCACTCTTATTATCCTTTAGGAAAGATTCAGTGTTGAAAATCAGAGATTTTTGCAGCCAGCCCGGCTGAGCCAGGTTTGATTCCTCCGCCCCTCTCAGAGAGCCCGGCAAGCTACCGAGAGTATCTCGCCCGCACGGCAAAGTCTGGCAAACTACCCGTGATATATTCAATATGCCAAACACAGTAACAACAAGTCTCAAAATGGAGACGTTACTGGGCCCGCTCGAGCAAATCGATGAACAACAGGAGGACAGTGACAGTGACAGTGACCCTTTTGAAAGAATTAATCATTAAGTATATGAAATGTAAACCCTGTTTTCCTTTACTATCACACATGTGACCCCAGTTCACATAGCACATAATCATTCACCAGCACCCATCCTACCCTTTTTCAGCCTGTACTAGGCTATCTTCAGCTTCGGGGCTGACCACAATAGTCTTACAACGTGACCCTTTACCCACAGTGCTACCTCTGCCATTGTGTTCAGCAAAACCTTTCACAGTTCTCAATATTCAGTTCAGCCATTGCTTCTTCCATTAAGTCTTTCTCTCTCCTCTCTCACTAGGGCCATATCATCCTGTTGTCACCATTCGTGGTGCTTCTTCTCTCCAAAAGAGTACCTGTTTTGTTTAAATTATGGAGGACAGAAGCTATATTTATTCATTTCTCCAGTGCTTTGCAAGTATCAACTTGTGTTAGATATTTGATCACTACTTGCTTGATTATAAATAAATGAGTAATTACAACTCCATGCAAGGAATACCATACAGAGGTGTATAAATGGCACTTAGAGACCACAGGAGGAGGATGTTTTCTGGGTAATTGATTTAGAAGTCCACAGACAGGATATGTTCTTGTTTTGTTTTGTTTTGTACATGAGGCTCTCCTTGGCAAGGTACTGGGTCAAGCTGAAGGAAGCAGTACTTTAAAGTATCATCTAATCCCATGACAGCACCCTGTTTCCCACAATGGTAACAGTAATTAGGTGTGCTGAAGATAGTGACCACATTTTGGTCATGACTCCAATTGTACCCCCCATTGCAGTGTGAGACCATTGGCAAGGCTAGATGTTTCAGAAATGTCTTGCATAAATATGTAACCAGCACCCCAGGGTGAAATACCCTTTCCTCCACAGTCATCTAGATCTGACCATAATAGGTCACACATTGGGCCCTCATGTGGAACTTCCTATAATCGATCCAGGGCTCTGATATGATCCAGTGTACTAATGGATGGGAGATAACCAACATGGAGACAGAATATCTGTCCATCCACTAGAGCTGTAAGCGGAAGATAAATAGATCTGAAAAATATTTCCAAACATCAGCATACTTTCATAGACATTCACCATAGAAACCATATACTTGGGTAATATGTCAACTTTAATGGTTTCCTCTCAATATTGTAATATTTTCTGGGTAATGTCTCCACCGAATAAAAACCTCTGTCCCATGAAGAGATAGTTTGTATGTGGTGATTTTCCACGAATTCTACAGAGTTTCATGAGATCCTGGAGTTGACCATGCACATTTCCACACAGCAATGGGACATTGCACTTCTTGCACATTTGATTCTTCCATTAAAATTTATTTAGCGCTCATTCAGCTGCTCCATCCATTGGTCCAGCTCCTTGGTGAATGCCTTGTCCTCGGGAGTTGGCCCAAGCATGGCATAGTGGCCACACACAGCTCACAGCACTTGGGCTGTCTTGCTCGCTCTCCCACTCCACCCCCCCCCCCCCACTTCATGCTTCCTATATGGTCATTTTTAGCATGGTGACAGCCAGCCTCCATATTTAGTCTATTTTTGGTTCCTATTTACACCTCTGTGCCCTGACTTTGGTGGAGGTGAAGGGCACACCTGACAATGCCCAGAAACTATTCCTGGCTCTACACTCAGAAATTACTCCTGGCAGTGCTGGGGGACCAAATGGGATGCTGGGGATAGAACCTGGGTCAGCCATGTGCAAGGCAAGCACCCTGTACTCTCTGCAGCTTCTGCTATTGCACTTCTATTGCTCTCTCCATGTTGGTCTACTGAGGTTATTGTGGCTGTTGTGTTGAGCCGCCAAAGCACAGAAAGCCCCCTGAGACTCTGTAGCCCTCAGCTTACCCACCCGCCACCATGGACTGTCCCTGCCAGGAGCAGCACGGTCAGTCCAGGTCATAGCTTGTCCGTTAGATCAGAGTATCTCATCTAGGTAGCCGGAGGGTGTCATGGAGCATTCCAGAATTACTATGTTAATTGAGGCAGATCAACCAACATACAGCCTAACCAAACCCTTTGGTGTTTCTTCCTTATTTCCTGTCTCTGCCCATTTCAGTTCTACCCCCAGAGAGTTCTTTCCCAGAAGCAACTTGGGTTTCTGTGCTCCTGTAATAGGTCAGGTAGGAAGAGAAGGAGCCGGATTTCCTGTGTGATACTATGGACTCCTCAGATCCCTTTATCCCAGAGAAAACTGGAGCTTGGATCACAGAGGACCAGGCTAAATGGTCCTCAGGGGTGCTGAGAGGCAGGATGGAGGCCTATTTTTCAAATTGCCACCAGCCAACATCCTGTAGAAGAAAGGCCACAGCGGGGCAATGGGGAAGCGGGTGTAGAAATAAAAGCGTGTAATCAGATCAGTCGCCAGCTGGGAGCATCTTCCTGGGGAGTCTGTCTCTGGCGAGGGCACCAGGGAACATGTCACATGTCTTTGGAAGGTCTGCCTGTCCCCTGTCTTGTCAGTCGTCAGCACCAGACACTCTCATTTCCTTAATGACTAGGTACAGATCCTGAATCTGTAAGTTTAGCTAAACTCTTCTTGACCTTTCTGTGCTTTTAGCCTTATGCCTGCCTCTCTGAATAAGAACTTTTGTGGTTGGTTTCTTGTTCTATCAAATGCCTTCATGGAGGGTTAAAAGAAAGTCCCTCCCTTTAAGCTGAAAGACCCTGCACTCTTCTTTGCAGTTTCTGGTGCTGGTAACCAATTCCTGTGTGGCCCATAGTCTAGTTTGTTGAATGGGAGCAGGGAGTGGGGACAGGAGATGGACACCTCTCCCAGCAGTAATGTTCTCATTTCTCATCTTTAGTGTTCCCCACATTTTCCCTTTGAGCACCTTGTCTTTGTAGTGTTTCTTTTATCTGGACTTTCCCTTCTTCTCTTTTGTCCTAGGTTTAAATACAACAGCCATGAGAATTAGTAGCAGATACTCTGTATGCATGTCATATAAGGCATACAGGTTTTTTGTCCTCAAGCGTTGTGACTTTAGGATTAATGTTTTTTTTTTTCTTTTTGGGTCACACCCGGCGATGCTCAGGGGTTACTCCTGGTTCTGCACTCAGGAATTACTCCTGGCGGTGCTCAGGGGACCATATGGGATGCTGGGGATCAATCCCGGGTTGGCCACATGCAAAGCCAACGCCCTACCCGCTGTGCTATCACTCCAGCCCTAGGATTAATATTTCTAAGACTACTAATGTGAAACTTTCGTCTTTACTTGCAACAGCAATAGTAAGATATGTATCTTGTATGGCTACTCTGGATTTATCACCTATAAATGTTTTTGAGTTGTCTTGACCTTGATCTCCAATCTTACTGTTTGTCCATTGCAGTGGCTAATTTATATGATGAAATGTTAAGTGTCACCATATGATCATTCTTCTAGGGCATTTATGAAAATGTTAAGACTGATGGCATACTTGAGTCTCTGTATAATTAACTGTTCCATCCCTGGGGGTAGAGGAGACTTGCCAATGTACGGCAGTTTAATTTTACAGGCGGTAATAAGACCTGTAAAATTAAATTGTGTGTACCTCAGAGCAGTGATCTTCAACCACTGGACCACAGACTGAATCTCGTCTGCAAGTGCAGAAAGGTTGAAAACTACTGGGCTACCACCGTGTTTATGACTGATGTGCAGAACAGATGCGGGACCACAGGTGTAGGAGACAGAAGAATGCTGTTTGGGAAATCTGTAGAAAAGAGACATCTGATCTATAAAGAGTGACGTGTAGGACTATTTTAGGTGACTCGCTTAAGATCATCCAGTGATTATTGGATCAGGGATCAGATCTTTGGTTCCTTTACCATTTAGCTCTTAGTAAAATACATGCAGAACTTTTTGATATGTTTCCCAATTCTGTAGTGCTTTAATTAGAATGAATAAAAGTAATAAATGAAAGAAACTCCTTGGTCCTTAACAAAGATGTTTTTAGAAAAAAAGAGTAAATCTATTTCCCCTTCTTATCTATAGTCCATTGACCTCTTTTTAAAAAATTGCAGCTGATTTAACCAAAGCCGATTGTACCAAGCTTGTTCTATCATTGCCCCCTTTTTGTCACATTGTATTTGATGGTCCTACCACTGATTGTCTTCTGTAATTGCTTGTTTGGTGTGTGATTGCGATGATTAGCTTCACCCTTGGAGGTCTTGCTCAGAGATAGCCATTGACAATTTCCATTATGTCCAGGAAATTGGCAGCACAGAGCTGCCAAGTGCATCCTAATTGCTAAGGAAGCACAGCTGGCTGTGGGTGAGGGTGGGGGTTCCATGCTGCAAGAGGACGTGGAAGCCCCCAGTGTCTGAGTGCTTCACTGAGGTGGGGTAGGAAAGCCTTGCCAGGGCGAGGGTGGGGAGTCAAGGGCAGGGAAGGAGGTGAGGACTGCAGGGTTGACTTCTCAATGTGCCCTTCTCTGAGACTTTTTGTTTTCTCATTTCAGAGTCTGGAAGGAGGCTCCTATCGGGGGAGTTTGAAAGACCCCACAGGCTGCCTGAATGAGGGAATGAGCCCTCCCACACCTCCTAGAAACCTGGAAGAAGAACAGAAAGCCAAGGCCCTGAGAGGCAGGATGTAAGTGGTGTCCATGGTGTGCATTCTGGGGCATGTGTATGGTGGTCAATGGGCAAAGGACTCAGGAACTTTGGGGGAGAATGAGGATTAGTTCCCCTCCTCCAGGTGTTTGCACTGCTGTCATTCTCTCTAGGATCTCCATAGTGTGGCACTGATGAATAGTGAGCTGCTGTGGCACTGACTTCACGAAGTTGGCAGAAGCTGTCAGTGACAGACTATTGTTCTAGCTGTTAGAAATTGGAATAATGCCGATGGAAGGGAAAACACCAACACCTGGTCAGGGACCAGGACATAGAGTCAGTGGGTCTGGATAATCTCAGAATTTACAACAGAGAGTATGACAGAGGTTCCTGAGGTAAAGGAGCAGAGGGCATTGCCTGTCACTGTTTCCCCAGTTTTTATTTTGCATTAGTGTGTGGATTTAGTACCTAGAGAATCTCCTCTCTGCATTTTGAATGGATAGGGTAAACACAGTTCTTTGCCCAGTCCAGTTCACAAAACTCCATTCAAGATTTGAGTTACCCACGTTCAGGTGAGAACAATCTTTTACTGAATTTAGAAGATATTAGATAGCATTAATGCAAAACCACCGTCACTGTCACTGTCACTGTCCTCCCATTGTTCATTGATTTTCTCGAGCAGGCCCAGTAACGTCTCCATTGTGAGACTTTGTTGTTACTGTGTTTGGCATATCGAGTACATCACGGGTAGCTTGCCAGGCTCTGCTGTGCGGGCGAGATACTCTCCGAGAGGGGCGGAGGAATCGAACTCGGGTCGGCCATGTTGGCTGCGTGCAAGGCAAACGCCCTACCCACTGTGCTATCGCTCCACAGTCCTCTAAAATTTTAGTTTTCTCACTTAGGGTTTGAGGCAGTTTTGGAAGAAGAGCTATGAGTAAGTGTGGCCATAACTTGATGTGTGAAAGATTGTAAGCTCAGAAATAATTGGGTAGATAGGTTTAAAGGCCAGGTCCTGTTGCTAATTAGCCTGTCCTCCCCCTCTCCCCCCCTCCCCACCCCTCAGCTAACCCAGCAATACTTTAACCTGGTCCTAGACATGAAAATTAGCAAAAATAAATGAGGCTAGGTCCTTCTGTTATCTGAATATAACAGAATGTTTATTAATTTTCTATGGAAATACAGCCAGAGCTTGACTTAAGCGCCAGACTTTTCACACTTTTCACCTCATAGTGACATATAAACTCTCCAGCTTCTTATATCTCCCCATCAACACTCAGAGAAACCCCAGGAATGGCACAGAGAAATGTCATCCTGAGGAAAATGTCCTAGAAATTATACAAAACTGATAGCTCCTTAGTATCTCTGGGTGATTTTGCAGAGATGAGGAAGATTGGAGCAGAGGTGCCGTCTCATCAAACCACCACAAACTTCTATCAGGGAAATAAAAGCTTCTGTAAAAGAAGTATCCTGTGAGGTGGCAGGGCCCTGGCCTGTCACTGCTCCTGTGACCCAGGTTGAATAAGTCTGTGAGCAGCCTGTAGGCCATTGCCCTGCTTTCAGACATGACACTGTATGATTCTGCTCTAACGGTGAAGTTTGCTGCCACTTTCACCCACCTTCTTCATTTCTTCTCCCTCTGCTGACTCTCACCCAGGACTATCCTCCTCACATTTTGAGTGATGCTGAAAATCCAACTGTTTAAACGCCTCATTCCCCTGCTGTCTGTGGTCTTCATTAATGACCACAGTGGAAGACAGGATGTATAATGTGTTGTGGTCATTCCTGTGTGACTCTGGGGACTGAGGGACCCAAAGACTCAGAGTCTACTCAGGAATAAATGTGAGTTCTGTGGAGAAAAGATGAAAGTGAACAGTAGTCTAGAGGGGGGGGGAAGTATGAGAATAGACTTAATTGTCTTCATATTTTAGTCATTCATTTCATTGATTCAACAAATATTTGTTGGATGCCTATTGTGCATCAAGTGCTTCGAATACATTAAGTGGGTAAAACCAGCAGAAGTCCTGGAGAGCAAAAGTCCTTCTCTCATGGCAAGAGTATATTCTAGTAGGAGAAATAATATAAAGAAAGTGAAAAGTAAATTATGCAGAAGCTAGGGAAAAACAGAGCTAAGTAGGGAAGAGGGGGAGTGTGGCCAAGGCTATTCCTGTTCACATTGGGGTGGAGAGAAGGTTCAGTAGCTGGAGTGCTGCACTGTGTGCAGGTGGCCTGGGTCCTTCCCTCCCACTGCACGGCCCCTGACTGTCACACGAGGACTTTCCCCAAGCAATGCAGGGTGTGACTCAAAATAAGGAAATACATTTACTTATTTTCTTACACTTGTACAAGAGTAGAATTTGCTACAGAATTAGTGGTTAACTGTTGAGGATAATATTTTTGTGGCAACTTTGAAAAACATAAAAAATAAAATTAAAAAACACTCTAAATCTTACTTTCATAGCATGTTTATTGTTTTCCATTCCCCTCTAGATTGTATTCTGTCTGAAAGTACACATAGATCTTTGTTAAATTAATTGCTGCATCCATCCCTAGCATTTAGAACAGTACCAGACATATAGCATGTCCTTAATGAATATTGCTTTATTTAAAAAAATATTTTTGTAGCAGTACAAAGGTTCTGTAGGAATTTTCTGTGGAAAATAACTAATTTCCACCACTGAGAACCACAGATGTTACAAGGAGTTCGTTCTGACCTATAGCTAGAAAAATTGTACCGGACAAAGGAATCCCATTTACTTGGGAGCTGGAGAGACAGTACAGAGGATAGGGCACTTGTCTTGCACACACCAACCCATATACCCTGACACCAGAAGAAAGTCCCCCAGGCCCCACCAGGAGTAATCACTGAGTACAGAGCCAGGAGTAAGTCTTGTGCACAGCTGGGTGTGGCCCATAATATATACCAAAATAAAAAATAATTGAGCATAAAAAAATCCTTTTCCTAATCGTTATGCACTGCTTCATGGAATCTTTTGAAATCTTTTCAGCCTTTTGGGAAGGCAGTTTCAGAATGTCTTTCAGTCCGTCACTATCTCCCCAAGAATTTCATAAATTCTTCAAGCTAGGAGATGCTGGGTTGGTGTGTGCAGGACAAATGCCCTATCTGCCGTATGGTCTACAGGCCAGAAAACCCAAGTCAGGCCTCAGTCTGGCAGCAGATAACCAGGATAAAAATACCACCCACAGACAGAGTTGAGTCTCGTCTCCAGAGGACCTTTTCAGTCCCAAACTCCCACTCGACTGCTCCTGTGGGTTCTCTTTTACCACTTTCTATACAGTGGTTACTCAGGCCATGCTAAATATATATTGAAATGCTATTATTTGGCCTTGCCAGTTCCTTCCTGTGGCTACAACACATGATTGTCTGTGTCAGAGAGAGGGAGCGGGTTGGAAGTGCTGGACATGCAGATAAAGAAGCGTGTGTTCCTTTGGTTTCCTCCCCAGCACCCCAGCACCCCATGCTTGGGCACCAGGGAGCTGATCCATGCCACATAGAACAAGAATTTTAGATGAAGTGCTTCCTGGGTTATAGCCTTTGGCATTTAAGAACTCTCTTCCCAGTGCCTCTTGGTTCCAAAAATTGCAATTTTGTGGCTGCAAGCAAAACCCTCAAATTTAGATAAAATTACTAAATTACTCCAGTTACTCCCATGGAGACCAGCCCACCCCTGCACACAGCCAAGGCATTGTGTGTGCAGTTCTTTACTGTGTGAACAAAAGAAAGAAAGAGGAGTGTTTGCGTTTGAGCCTCAGGGTCTCCAGAAAGCCAGGCTGAGAGCTTAAATGTTCACACCTGTACATGCCCCCAGTGGCCCACACTTGAACGTGGTTAACACAAATTGCCGTGCTGGTGTCAGTGTGTCAACCTTGAGAATACCAGTGAAAGGGCAGCCACTGGGTCCAAATCCAACTCTGTTACTCACTTTGTCATCTTGGACGAGTGACCTACCCTTTCTGCCTTGATATTTTTATCTCAGTAAAATAGGACTTACACCACCACCTGGCATGTTATAAGCAAGAGAAAAACCAGATGAAGCAACTAGCACAAGTTGTTCTCAGAGGAAGAAACCATTAACCAGGAAGAAACCAAGAAAGCCAATGTCCTTGCAGTGTTCAGTCCTGCATCCGGCAGTGGGTGGGAGGGTGCTGCCTTCAAAGCTGTGATTATGGAATATCTGCTGTCACTCTTTCTGGCCTTGACTGGGGATTTTGCAGCCCAGTTACCATGGATACCTAGCTAAATAATTGTAGCTTCTGGATCTCAAAAGCTTGGCTTGAATGTCAGTGCTTCTGAGGCCTCTAAGGTTGACTGGCAAAGAAATGATTTTCTCCTGTTGTTAAGTAAAGACCAGAGCTGAGATGAAGAAAGAAAAGTCGTGCATTAATGCCTGGGCTCTAAGTGCTCATGGTCCCAATCTGCCAGAGTTGCCTTTACTCTTCTGCCCTGCACCAGGCAATGAAGGCAGAATCCTCAGGAGCAGGAAGATGATAGCTCATGTGCCTCATTCTGACTACCTTGTGCCATCTGGGAGGGTCCTCTCTCATCCTCCATATACGTTTCACTCTTCAGTAGGAACCTCTTCTAGAAAGATCTAGCACCTTCCCAACAGGTGCTAAGAGTGGGGTTAGTGGTCTTGATGACAAGGTGCTTAACCATCAAGGTACCTATGAATTTGACTATGAAGATTTCCTCCTTCCCCATTAAGAGGAGACTCATTTTTCTTCGTCTTCCACTTAGGTTTGTCCTGAATGAGCTGGTACAAACAGAGAAAGACTATGTCAAGGATCTGGGGATTGTGGTGGAGGTGAGTAGATGGTTCTGGGGGCTTTATGGTCTCCCGGCCAGGGCCCTGTTGGATCTTACTCAGCCACTGTGCTTTGATTTGAGGGCGACATCAGTTTTCATCTTGCATGGTATTTGCAAAAATGAAACTGGAATTGGTAGTAAATGCAATGGAAAATATAAGCAAACTTGTACTTTTCCCCTTGAAATAATAGAAGATAGTTTGGAGGGAGAGGGGGGGGCCTTCCAGTGGGTAGCATTCTAGGAAGCCTGGTGCTCTAAGCCATTTCTGTTACACCTTGTTTTATGTGACCAAAGTCTTGATCCTAAGAGCATCTCCTTGGTGTGTTTTTATTCTTATTAGGAAACTGTGATTTACAAAGTTGTTCATAATAGAGTCATTTCAGGCATGCGATACCCATGGAAGTATATATTTTTCACAGCAGGGGGCTTCCAAGGGCACTCAGCAGCCTCGGTGCTTGCACATCTTCTTAAATTTTCAGATGTTTTTGTGTTAATAAGAGGACAAAAGCAGCAGTGCTAGGGCTGCAGCCGTAGTCAACTTGAGAGCGAGTGAAACTGCTCTCCCCATGGAAATTCCTTGCGGGAGTTTAGAGGCTTGCATAAGAAAGTAAGTGGGTACTTTATCAATGCTTTTCAGCCTTTCTATTCCTGAGGACTGGTGCTGGGCTGTGGACTGGCAGGATAAAGCCTCTGGTTTCAATGGCCTCCACCCTGTTGTTAGGTGCCTTCAGTGAAAGACTGTGAGCTCTGGGAGTTTCATGTGCATTATCTCGGTTATCTCCTGCCTTCTGTTATCAGGCCTATCCTGTGAAATCTGCTGGCTTGCCGTATTTTTATTTGCTTATCCTGAGCCTTGACCATAGCTATATGCCAGGCTAACCTGGCCTGCGAACAACCTGAATCCTAACTTCTGAAAAGCTTTTCTCTTTCTGGGGAGCAGTGGGGGTGACAGAAAGGGGTATAGCAACCTCCACATGCAGCACAGCTAAGGGGTAGAGGCCTGAGCATCCCCACCCTGGAGACAGACACCCAGAGGAGTCAGACATCAGGGTTGATTCTGAAACAAGTTGCAGGGCTCCTTGGGACCTTGGCATTCCATCTGCCAGATAGCTAGCAGGCTGCCGTGCCACTTCCAACCTTTTAAAGCTAAAATCAGGCTATTTTTGACAGCATTTTATAGAACCTAAAGTTAAGGCATATGATAACTTATTTCTAAAACAGATGCATCTAGTTCTGAGCCCTTAAAGGCATAATTAAAATGCACTGAAGACAGAAAAGGGACAAAGGATTTGTTTCCTTGTTGTGCTTTCTTTGTTATTATGGAAATTCCTTGGTCTGCACTGATATAAGGTGTCAGGTGTGCAGAGTTTGGTCATGTTCTGATTGTGTTCTTATTCTGATTGTGTCTGGAAGGAACCCAGGGCCTTCCACATGGCAGACCTACATTCTACCATGGACCCTATCTCCCGTGTTTTTCTGTTTCCTGAAGGGTCTAGAGACCACCAGGGACCCAGAATCTCATAAACATCTTACCAGTCACTCTGGACAAAGTTCCCACCCTGGTTGAGGCACAAGAACCCCGCCCCCCCGCAAAAGCACAGTCCCCAGCCCCCAGAACAGAGAACGGGAGCTAGCAGGGGCATAGCCAGCCCTGGTCTGGGGATGTGCGGCTCATGCTCACCCCTCTGCCTTCCAGGGCTTCATGAAAAGAATAGAGGAGAAGGGCGTTCCCGAGGACATGCGGGGGAAGGACAAGATCGTGTTTGGGAACATCCACCAGATCTATGACTGGCACAAAGAGTAAGTGCTGGGGAGCCACGAAGGGATGGGGGCCCAGGGTGGGGAGCAACTCCTGTCCCCCCACCACCACCTCCCAGAGGAGGAGTCCTGAAGAACAATGTGGCTTTCTCCTCTTGTCCCCTCCCGGCCTTTAGCTTTTTCCTGGCTGAACTGGAGAAATGCCTCCAGGAGCAAGACAGATTGGCCCAGCTCTTCATCAGACATGTGAGTACTTCCCTCCTCCCCCCTGCCTCTCCATCCAGGCTGAGAAACAGAAATGCTGCTCCCTGCTGTGCCCATGGCATGCCTCCGAGTCCTAATGGCCCTTTGTGCAACTTACAAGATGGGTGCTGGGTGTGACCGTCCACATTTCCTCTCCAAGCCCTGAGAGGTGACTTCCTCAGTGGCCCCTCCCCAAAGTTGCCCCTGAGCCCTCCTTTCTGTGTAGAACAGAGGGGTCTCTGCGCATGAGACATGCGATGCTGAGCACCTGCTTCTCTGCTTCTGCAGGAGAGGAAGCTGCACATCTACGTGTGGTACTGCCAGAACAAGCCACGCTCCGAGTACATCGTGGCTGAGTATGACACCTACTTTGAAGTAAGCAGCTGCGCCAGAGAGTGAGGAAGGATTGGTGCTGGGAAGAAACTCAAGTCAAGACAGACAGATTTGGAAATACCAGTCAGGGCTGGAGACTGGAGAGATAGTCCAGTGGGAAAGGCACTTGTCTTGCAATGTAACCAATCCTGTTCGATCCTCAGAACTACATGGCCCATCTCCACTCCCTGCCAAAACAAACCAAACAAACAGCAATTTGTTTCTTAGGAAGTCTCCTGAGCTCCTTTGCCTTGGAGACACCAAGGTGTCAGAGGTGGGCACTGCTTTTGGATGTCATTGCTTGCCGGATGACCCTGGGCCACAGGTGCTTCTCTGTGTGTGACCCTGGGGCAGATGGTGCCCACGCTCTCCCTCACCTCTCTGAGCACAGTTGGCTGTGGACACTCATTCTCTTCAGCCCCATTCCCAGAGATCCTGCCAAGCACCTCTAAGTGCTTGTCTTGCCGCAGCCTGGAAGTGTTTATTTTGCTGAAGGAGAGGCGACATTACCACTTGGAAAGAGCCCTTGGCGAGTGTTGGCAGGCCTGAGTGGAGGCCCAGTCCAGGAGAAGTCCTTCACTCCTGCCTGAAGCGGTGGGAGGACAGAGACCCTTTCCATACTGATCTTCGTGCCCCAGAGGGCTGTGATGACAGAGGCGCACGTCATGCAAACAGTTCGTAGGCCCTGTGCTGAGCAACAGGTTAGAAGTGAAGGAGCCAAATGCACCACCTCTCAGGTGGATGCACGACTCTAAGTTTCTTTATTTTGTTTATGGCTTTGGGGCCACACCAGATGGTTTACCACCGGCTCTGAGGTCAGGGATCATCCTTATGATGCTGGGGGACCATACAAGGGTGCCAGGGACAGAGCCTGGCTTAGCCTAATTCAAGGCAAGTGCCCTCCCCACTGTAATGTCTCTCCATCTCCATGACTCCTACTTTATTGGCAAAAGGAAGCTGTATCTTCCTGGGTTCGAACCCTGACCCAAAGCACCCCGGTTTTCTGATTGCTTCTTTTCTCCCTCACGTAGCTTTCTTGTGTTCCAGGAAGTCAAGCAGGAAATCAACCAAAGGCTCACACTGAGTGACTTCCTCATCAAACCCATTCAGAGAATAACAAAGTACCAGTTGCTCCTCAAGGTAAGTGAACTGGAAGCAGAAGCCAAGCTGGAGGGGCCTCTTGGGGTCCAGCGTTGGGGAGCTGGCAATTAGCCCCATCTCCCTCACCTTTTTGCCCTGAACCAGTGAGCGGTTTTCCTGTCTGTTAGCTACTTGTGTCAACTGAACCCCTCAAAATTGCTACTGCTTTTAACATTTTTTAGTGTTTGATTTGTTTTCTCAATTTACTCTCTTTCTTCCTCATGATTGCTAACTTGGTATCTAGCCTTAAACACAGACACACAGACATAGACATGAACACACACACACACACACACACACACACACACACACACACAGAAAAACACAAAGAGCTTAAAGTCAGAATAGAATAGGAGGAAAAGAGACAGTGCACCAGGCCTCGGGAAGCTTGCCTGAAGTGACCAGCCTGTGGCACTGTTGGCCTCCGGTGTGTTTGCGGGTGTGGTCAGGGTCACACCCAGTGCTTCACACACGCCCTTGCAAGTTACTGTCGAGCCACAGCCCAGTTTTGCATTTGCTTTTTTAAAGGTTTAATTTTTTTGTTGTTGTTTTAATTTGTTTGCTAATTTTTTAATGTGGACAAAAGCCACAACTGTTAATACAATTTTAGAATTGAAACTGATTAGATAACAAAGCTCCAGTATTAAAATTGATAAGTTTAAAAATCAGGTTTTATGTGAAAATTGTTGTACCTCACCACATGGTTGTTAAGTCCTGGTACAAGGATTTACTAGGCTGTTTGTTGCTAGTTGAGCCTTCTGTGGTGTTGTTTTTCTTTGTTAGTTTAGTTGGCTTTAATGTTCCTTTCCCATCTAACTTGGCGCACTTCTAAATTTCAGTACTGAAATTTCAGTATTGAGGGGTTTGGAGGAACTGCACAGCAGCAACGTGGTTCAGAAGCTTCAGGATCAATGGTCTGGGCCAGTGAGTTGATGCAGTGGTCCCTGTCGGAGGTAGCTGTGGAAGCCTCTTCTGAGGCTTCTGAAAGTACAGGACTAGGGGGAGACAGTGCGTGCTGAGGGGAGGAAGATGGACAGCCCCATTCTGAGAAGACCCCAGAGTTCCCAGCCTGGGCACTGGGGTTCCCGAAACTTCCCAGTCTGTATCTCTGCAGAGAATGGTAGAGAAACCATGGAGTTGAACCATTGGTATGATGGCAGCGGTGGGGTGTAGGTGTGGCTGCCAGGCCTGCCCCCTCCAGAGGTGCCTCAGAATTTTCAGCCTGGGGTGACCAGTATGTCCATGAATATTAGCTGCTTGACTCACATTCCTAGGAGATCAGCTGTGAATTGGTGAACTGGTAGAGCAGGTTGGTGGGTGAGACAACAGGGTGGCGGCTGGGGGTAGTAGGTATGGCTGCTGGGCTTCTGGAAGTCAGGGGGTGGTGCAGGGTGTTGGTGTCATTTGGGGGCATACCTGGCAGTGTTCAGAGTTTACTCCTGACTCTGTCCTGGTGGGTCTCTGAGTACCTTATGGGATGCCAGGGTTTGAACCTGGGTCGGCCACCTACAAGGGAAACACCTTGCCCACTATACTAGCTCTCCAGTCCAAGTTTTCAGAGAGAAAGAAAATGGTTTCATTTGGTTTGTCTCAGAAATAGAAGATCATGGAAACAGGAAGTTTCACCTTTCTCCCCTTCTGTCTGGCCTAATCCCTCCCTTCCTGCCCACATGCTCTCTCTGGTGTCCTGCTCCCACCACCTTTTCCGTAGCTGTAGTCTGGGAATCGTGTCCTGGGTTTCTCTGAGCCGTCTTGTGGCCTGTGACGCATAACTGCACATCTCGGCTACTATAAAGCATTGACGTTCTGTATGGGAAGGCGAGTCTCCTGGCTATTTCCATGTTGCCATGAGGCTCTCAGACTAAGAGATTTCGCCCGACCCACGCCCTTCTCTGCTTCCTCCTGTTGCTAGGACTTCCTGAGATACAGCGAGAAGGCCGGTTTGGAGTGCTCAGATATTGAGGTAAGTGTTCTGTGTGCAGTGGTGAGTGAAAGGGGAAGGCGGTCGCTGGGAAGGGAGGGTCTGGGCTGAGTCCTGGCAGCAGCCCCTCACAAGCAGCTGCTTGGCGAGATGACCTGTGGAGAGTCATATTGTTTTATTTTGTTCCAGGGATTTGGGGTCATCCCCAGTAGTGCTCAGGGGCTCCTCCTAGCTCTGTGCTCAGGGGGTTGCTCCCAGTGATGCTGAGCAACCATGCAGTGCTGGGATCTAACAGGGTCAGGTCATGCAAAGAAGCCCCTTACCCCTGTCTGTTGCCCCCATGAATTTAATGAGCACATCAAGCCTTTTTGTGAAAATGAGAATTCTGTCCTGGGCCAAACCCGAGATTCTCTCTGCTGGGGTTCTCCTTGCAGACCCCAGGTCCACAGGTGAGGTGGGCAGAGATGGGCTTTTCCCTGGTGAGCTTGAGTCATGAATCTCAAAACTCATGACAGAAAAGACTGCATGTCCACTCCCATCTCCCGCCTGAGGGAGGCCTTGTGGAGGCATCTTAACCCCATGGGGGTTACTTTAAGCCAGAGGGAATGCAGACCATTCCACGCGTTATTCTAGGTTAAAATCTCTAGCATTTCACAAGCCAGGCCAAACTGTTGCTTGGGCAGCCAGAAAACAACGAAAGGACAGTCTGGGAAGGTGAGAGAATTGATAAGCCAAAGTGGGGAGGCCAGGGCGGGGTGGGGGGAGAGGCCTGCTGGGTAATGTCTTCCCAGTGTGGACACTCGTTCAGGTGGTGCCCAACGCTGACAAACAGAGAACCCTGCGTTCCTCCAAGCTTCCCTTCCTGGACTCACAGGGCAATCTGGAGAACCCTGTCTTTTTATATTTTTTAATGGTTTGGGGGTGACCACATCCAGCCATGCTCGGGGATTATTCCTGGTTCTGTGCTTAGGGACCATGCCTTGTCGGATCTGGAGACCATATGGGGTGCCAGGGATTGAGCCTGGGTCAGCTGCATGCAAGGCGAGCACCCTATTCACCGTACTGTGACTCCAGCCCGTTTTTCAGCCCAGAATGCCCCTGACATTGGTGCCAGCACACGGGCCTCACCCTAGCCTCTGTTTTCTCCCACAGAAAGCAGTGGAGTTAATGTGCCTTGTTCCCAAACGCTGCAATGACATGATGAATCTGGGGCGCCTGCAGGGCTTTGAGGTGAGCCTTGACCATCCTTCCCGGCCTTCAGAGCTGGACTTCTCGGCAGCAGAAGACCCAGCTGGGAGGTGGCTTCCCCAGCTAGAGGCCTTGGGCCCCACTTCCCATGCCCCCTTGGCTGGCCGTCCTGCCCTCTATTTCCCTGCCTAGTAGAGGCAGGAGGTCAGGTGAAGGGCAGCCCACCCTCTAATGGCCTCAGCCTCTCAGAACTCCAAAGGGCTGAAGATCCTCGGTCCTGCAGACCTGGCAGGTCTCTTTCCTTCCCTTTTCTTTCAGGGTGAGAAATGCCGGGACTGGGAGGGAGGGCAGGATGAAGGGGGCGGAGGATATACTTTTGTGGAACGTGTGATTCTAAGGAGTGCGCATACAAAAGGGTGGGCTTTTGTTTTGTCTTGTTAAATGAACATTTTATCATAATGAACGTTTCTGTTCTTGGAAGAAGGAAATTGGATCTTAGGAGAAACTGCTAGAAGCCTCCAAGACTTTACTTTCTCTCAGTATCCAGGCTTGCTCCAGACTCCATCTCCCAGAACCACAGGTCAACGAGTAGCTTAAACAGAAAGAGTGTTTATGGGACTGGAAGGCTGAAGTCTAGGTAGAGGTAGGGGTGGTTTCGTTCTGTGGACCGAGGGGGAGGGGCTTGCTTCCCAGCTGCGGACAACCATCTGGATGTTTCTCCACTGTCTTCATAGCTGTGAATGCAAACTTCCTTTTTCATAAGGACATCAGTCTTACAGAATCTGCCCCGATGCTTTTGCTTTCACTTAATTCCCTCTGTAAATACTCATCTGTCAAGAAGACCATGTCTTTCTTATAACGTATGAATTAGGAGCAGAGGAGTCTATTTAACCCACTAACAATAGAGCTTTGAACTTTCGTATGTTTTGCATTGCTGGGGATCAAAACCAGACCCTCACTTGTGCAAGGCAAGTCCTCTAGCCACTGAGATACATCCCCAGCCCAACAGTGAAGTTCGAAGAGAAAATTGACTTTCCTAATATCAAACATGTTTAAAACTTCCTTGGTGGCCATTGATTTTCTAGCCAAACCTTATTAACTGAAGATAGCCTGTTTTGAATTTTAACATAAAATCAAACTGATACCATTTTAGCAGGTATTTAGTATTCGTAGACCCCCTTAGAGAAAGTGGATGATTATTAAATTCTACTTCCAACTATTCTACAGCCTAAGATTTATCGTGAGAGGGGCCCTCCCAAGCAGTGTTCCAGGGACTCAGAGCCCACCCGAGGATACTCGGCCAGGCTGAAGTTTGTGCTCTAGCCTAGGCACGTGGTGCTGCCCGAATGCAGCCCTCTCGGAGGGCTTGAGGCCATATCCAGTGGTACCCAGGGGCTGGTCACCAGGACAAAACTCAGTAGTACTCAGGAGGTCATGCATGCTGTGGACCAAACTCGGGGCTGAGTACATGCCATGCATACATCTGACCATCTCTCCGACCCTGTGACTCATTATTTTTTGAGAAAAGGGATTCCTAGAAGTTGAGATCATTAAGAAAGTAATATTTTTTCTATGCAAACTAGAATAGAGAGAATAGATATAAGGCAGATGGCTGCATAAGTGAATGTAAGAGATGCTGTCTGACTTGGGTTCATCAGTTTGTTTTATGATTTTGTTTAGTCAGATTCTTCTCCATGCCCTTCCTGCCCACATTGCTGTAACTGTGGGGTTCCTGTGCTCTGTGCTTGTGGGTCCTCAGCTCCCAGATACTGTGTTGGAGCAGAGGCATTGGTAAGCAGGCCAGTGCAGCAGGGCTCTATCCTGCCTTCTGCAACAGTCACATGGATGGAGTTTTAGTCTGTCTCTTGGTGTTATCCCAAACCTGGGGCTCTCCTGAACAAACCGGTTTAAACATCCTTCTGCTCTAAACCTTAGTGTCCTCCTTGCTTTCACCTTTCATCAGCTCGCCTTTCTGTCCATTGCTGAAGAAACTGACCACCCCCAGAAGAAATAGTATCTGACTGCGCTGGGTAACCCCTTTTCTGGGAACTGAGTGGGGCCCCAACGTTGACCCAGGAAGGCCACACTCGAATGCTATTGCTTTCTCACATCTAACACCACCACCTCCTTTCTTCAGCAAGTCTGAGTCTGATTTGCATTCATTGGTTCACGGGGAAGGACACTGCCTGTACTTCTCACCATTCAATACTTCCCAGGTCCATGGCTATGGACCAGAGGGAAGTAGCCCTTCACTTAGCTTCCTCCCTTTATAATTTTTCCAGCTTCCCCCTTTCATGTTGGCAGGGCTGGAGTCGATGCTCAGGCTTTAATGTAATATTAATAGTGCTTTGAGAGCTTTGCTGGCTTGCTGGTCACTGACTCCCTATTAACTTGGGACCGAGGTAGAGATAAGCCTGTTGAGCTACTGACCTCATGACCCAGACACGGCAGGCATTTCTCAGGAACGTGAATGAACAATGGTCTGTATGCAGGGTAACATTTGGAACCAGGCATTATGTGCAGGCCATGGCGCTTATTTGCTCTTAGGCATGAAAGCCGTCAGCTGGAAACCCTCTGGCCACTGTCCTAAGTGCCAAACTCTCGATGAGGCAGTAAAGCTCTTTCATAGCACCCCTGAAGTGGCTAGGTTGGCCCCGTTCCCTTGGTAGCCATGAAAGATGCCTCTGAAAAGCTGACTAGGAACCAGTAGACAGAACAGAATCCCTCCAGCTCCTTGCCTGGCTGCCCAGGGAGCATTATGAAAGCATCCCCATACCTGTACTCCCAGTAGTCACTCTGCTCTTCCAGTCCTTTCTTTGTGATTCTAATGCAGAGATACATCTTAAGTCCATATACCTCATTCCCTGCGATGCAGAAATTTCCTCTACCTTCTCAGAAAGATCCTCTTACTGTGTACCACCCTAAAACTCACTGATCCCAACTTATGAAAGAGGGGATGTCTTGTTGTAGAGGTGCCCAATGCGGTAAGGCGTTTGCCTTACACACAGCCAACATGGCCGACCCAAGTTCGATTCCTCCACCCCTCTCAGAGAGCCCGGCAAGCTACCGAGAGTATTCGATATGCCAAACACAGTAACAACAAAGTCTCCAATGGAGATGTTACTGGACCCGCTCGAGCAAATCGATGATCAACGGGAGGGCCTTTAATCCAGATCTCAGAATTTCCCCCTCCTACAATAATCGAATGAGAAAGAAGGACCCCAATTTACCCACCCGTTTGTAGTCCTGTCTGCGACATCATTTCCTTTGGTGCCAGAGTAGCTCTGGCTCGTGGCCACATGAGTATCCTGGGTTTCTGACCCAGGATGCATGTGTATGGGAAGGGGGGGCGTGTATTGGGGTGCGGTGTTGGAAAGGCGTGAGTTTCTCAGAGCTCTAAGGACAGAAGGAGGTCCAGGCATCACCATTTTTTCTTCCTCCTAATAATAATAATAATAATAATTATATAAAATAATATAGTAATATAAAAAATAATAGTAACAGAACTAGGCGGATTCCTGGACCTCTTTTTCACTAAGTATCTTCCCTTCCTGTGACATTTTTCTGGAACTGTTGACACATCCCTTGCACGAAGAAAGGAAGTGATATATGGGGGGTGGGGAGGGGAGAACTACATTCAATCTCTTTCCAGAACCATGAGGCTTGAGGCCACACTTGGAGTGGACAAGTTTCTGTGATCATCTCCCCGCCCTTTTGCACCTCCTTCATCCCTGCGCTTCCCCCCCACCCAGGGCACCCTTACCGCACAGGGCAAGCTGCTGCAGCAGGACACTTTCTACGTGATTGAGCTGGATGCAGGCATGCAGTCTCGGACCAAGGAGAGGCGCGTGTTCCTCTTTGAGCAAATTGTCATCTTCAGTGAACTGCTCAGGAAGGGCTCTCTCACCCCTGGCTACATGTTCAAGAGGAGCATCAAGGTGAGGGCCCCAGGCGGGGGTGAAAGAGCTGCTTCACTAGGCTTGAGGCATCAGAGGAAGATCTTTTACTTTATGACCTTTAGGTGCTGAGAGTGAGTCTGTGAATATAAGTGACCAGCCAGACCTGTCTCTGGGGTGATGGGGCAACGTTGCAGGTTCTCTTGGGTGATGTTGTTCACGCTAGGACAGAAACCCCTTATTCAGTGATTAGATCCATGGTAAAATTTTGGAAACAGTCTCTGAAATAAAAACATTGAAGCACTGTAATAGGAAGTGGATTTAAAAGCACTGTAGCACTGTCCTCCCATTGTTCATCGATTTGCTTGAGCGGCACCAGTAAGATCTCCATGTGAGACTTGCTGTTACTGTTTTTGGCCTATCGAATACGCCACGGGAACTTGCCAGGGTCTGCCATGTAGGCGGGATACTCTCGGTAGCTTGCCGGGCTCTTCGAAAGGGATGGAGGAATCGAACCCTAGTTGGCCACGTGCAAGACAAACACCCTATACACTGCTTCCAGCCCAGATTTAAAAGCAAAACACTTAGATGTGAAAAGAATCCACTTGTCTTCTTTCAGATGAATTACTTGGTTCTGGAGGAGAACGTGGACAATGATCCCTGCAAATTTGCACTCATGAACCGGGAGACTTCAGAGCGGGTCATCCTACAGGCCGCCAATGCCGACATCCAGCAGGCCTGGGTGCAGGACATCAGCCAAGTCTTAGAAACACAGCGAGATTTCTTAAATGGTAGGTTTGGGCCCGGCCTTTCTTTCCCAGGTTCATTCTTGGGTGACACACACACACCCTTGAGCTACCTTGTATAGGTCCATGGTGCATGTCCAGAGCATGTTTTATAAGGGCTCCAACTTGTAGTGTCCAGAAATTTTGCACAAAAGTTTTCTGGATCTCAGTATACAAGTGGAACAGATAGTACATTAAGAAGCCCCATCTTTCCAAAAGAAGGCACTCCCCCATAGCTGTGACCCTGTGGCTCTCTTGGCCAGTGTAATTATGAGGGCAAAGGTCCGAGCCTGCACATCCTCTTTCTCCTAAGCACCCGCTGGCAGTGCATAGGTTTTCCCATTTGGGGGCTCCTGGCTGGTACTCTCAGGGTTTTTTTGGTGGTTATAGGGATAGCTGGAGTTTGACCCCTGAGTTTAAGCCTTGATGGTGTGAGAGCCTCAGTAAGTCATCTTGCTAGCCAGCCTTACTGACCCTTTCACAAATGACAGATGATTGTTAAATAAGTTTTAGCAGCTCCTCAAAGCTTCCCAAAATCAAGTGATGGTCACACAGAGAATTTAACTCTCTGTGGATCTGGCAGTTGCTGGCTTATTTACATTCCTGTAGAATTTTTCTGCCTGGGGATTTTCTCTACATCAGTTCAGCATGGATGGAAAAACAGAGTTTTAAAATAGTGTTGATCTGCTGGGTTGATGAGTTCATAAATTTTTATCTATAGAGAAGGGCTTGAAGATTAAGGCAAAATATTCCTCAGTATCTGATCACCTGGGAACACAGCATGTTTCTTGTACACACACACACACACACACACACACAGAGCAACCACCATTAGCACTACCATCTCTGTGCCAGTATCATGCAGGGATGCCACCTCTTCTTGTCTGTCCTGAGATCTTTGCTATGTGGTCATATATGTTCATGCTTATATACATATGTACATACATATATACAGTGTGTTTGATACATTACTCTTCTTGGCCAGTACTGGAATTTGGACTCTGCGGATATTTGCTGGCTCTCGTAGATATCTCAAAGAAGTGGTTAAAGGTGACTTTGGGCAAGGCATGATTTGGCCTCAATTGTCTTATTTTGTGAAATGTAGCAGTGATCTTTTGTGCCCATCCTGGAATGTTCCATGCTATGTCACCTGTGGGGGGGTGGGGAAGCATAGCACACTTGATATCAACCCTACCCCATGGTAAGGCTTTCCTACATCATGGTCAGGTCATTTTGTTTGTTTGTTTGTTTGTTTGGGGGCCATACCTGGCAGTGCTCAGGAGTTTCTCCTGGCTTTACTCTCAGAGTGCTCAGGAGTTTCTCCTGGCTCTACTCTCAGGAATCACTTCCTGGAAAACTTGGGGGACCATATGGGAAACCAAGAATCAAACCCAGATCAGCCACATACAAGGGACGCACCTTACCCACTGTACTATTGCTCCAGACCCCATCATGGTTATTTAAAAACCAATACAAAAAAAATAAATAGGAGTGAGCCATGAGTTTTGTTTGTTAGTTTGGGAGCCAAACTTAGCAATACTCAGGGTTACTCCTGGCTCTGCATTCAGGAATTACTCCCAGGAGTGCTAAGGGGGGACCATATGGGAATTTGGGGATCAAACTCAGATTGACTGCATGAAAGTTAAAGTGCCCTACCCATTGTCCTATTTCTCTGGCCCTGAGCCATGATTGCTATGGTTCCAGGAATCCTGGATCCATTGCTTTAACCACACCCCAGCCCCTTGCCTTACCTATATAAGGTAGAATGTTACCCTTCAAAGCAAAGCTGCACTTACAGAGCACATCTGAGTGGTTGATTCTGGCCACTCAATTATATCACAGTTTGGTTTAAAAAAAAAAAAAAACAGAACAAGAAGCTGGAGCGATACCATTACCTTGCACACAGCCAACCCAGGTGTGATCTGCAGGATCCCATATGATCCCCAAAGCACCACCAGGAACCAGGAGTGATTCCTGAGTGCAGAGCCAGGAACAAGCCCTGAGCATCATTAGGTGTGGGCCCCTCACAAAAAAAAGAAAACTAGAACAAGTGATATCTAGGGTTTTTAATTCTTAATATTCTGAACTCAAACAAAGTCTGTCCCTGGGGGTATATCATTTATAGTTTTGAAATACAACTTTAACACTTTGTGTATAAAATTAATTTGTTATATGTGCATGTATGCAATACACTAATTAAATTGCATTCTGTGAATTTCTTATTCTTATGGATTCTAAGCTGGATGAGGTTATTACTTTCATCAGTTCAGGAAAAAATAGGACAATGAGTTGAAAACAGAAATAATTGAATAATGACTTCCATATACTGAGTCTTTTCTCTGCGCCAGGTGTGATGCTGAACATTTCATGTATATTTACACGTTTCATCCTCCCATAAATATGGAGAAGAAGTGGGCAGGAAATTGCATAGGACTTGAAGTACCTCACGTACAACTGACCTTGATTTGATGCTCTGAGCTTCACCATGACCCTGAGCATGGAGCAGGAATGATCCCTAAACACCACCATGTGGCCCCCAAACCAAACACAAATAATTAAACATGGAGAGGCTGATCTTCCTGTCATCCTACATTTTTCCAGTGAGGGTAAAGAAGTTAGTTAAGTTCACAAAAATGAGGAGTAAAACACTGAGCTCTAGAACTTTTTATTAGACTCTCAGCATTTCTCTGGGAGCTTCCTAGTAAGCAGTACTGAGAGTAGATAGACAAAGACTCTGCATCCGTTGACTAGTCTGAAACCTGTCAAGAGATGAAGGGCTTTTCTGACCCTGAACCTAAGTCTCCCACTGAGGCTAGAGAGAGAACATAGGATCTCGAAGACATACTCTGGATGGGAATGACAGTACAGTGGGTAAAGCTCCTGTCTTCCATGTGGCTGACTAGGGTTCAATCTCCAACATTACCCCACCAGGAGTGATCCCTGAGCTCAGAGCCTGAGGACCACCAGGTGCGACCAAAAATAAAAAAATAAAAAGATTGACTCTTTTCGACTTTAAAACAATTATTGCATATAATCATGTCATGGGCTGGAGCAATAGCACAGTGGTAGGGCATTTGCCTTGTGAGCAGCCAGCCCGGCTGAGCCAGGTTCAATTCCTCCACCTCTCTCGGAGAGCCTGGCAAGCTACCGAGAGTATCTCGCCCGCGCGGCAAAGCCTGGCAAGCTACCCGTGACGTATTCAATATGCCAAACACAGTAACAACAAGTCTCAAAATGGAGACATTACTGGGCCGGCTCAAGCAAATTGATGAACAATGGGAGGACAATGTTTGTTTGTGTTTTAATCATGTAATATCCCAATTCTGTGTGGTGGGTATTGAGTCATAAAATCAGTCTGGTAAGGCCTCCCTCACGACTCTGGCAATGACTTAAAACTCAGAGTGACATAGCTTTGAGCATAATCAGATTCAGATCTTCCAAGTGGTTGCAAGAAAGCACCTCCTAATTATAGTCAATAATGAAGCTATTGCTGAGCTAACTAATCAGTTCCTAAATATTTGTTGCCTACAGTGCACACCCCAGGGAAAGAAGCTGGGCTCTGGCAGGAGCCTTTTCTGTTCCTTAACACACTCAGAAGACCAAGACCTGTGGGGCTTCTCAGGCCTATCCTGACCCCTGAGCCTGCCCTGGAGAGAGGGATGAGCTGTACTATTGCAGAAACTAGCTTATCATTGAAAGTTCTCTTGGGCCCAGCTGCTAACCCACTTTAAGTATTTGTTACCATGAATACTGATAAAGAGGACAAAGTCAGGCCAGCTCTTAAAGTTATTATTTAAGAATTTGACCTGAGTGACAGGTGTCTGGCCATACCTTTGTAGTACTCAGACCCTGAAACCTTGTTATCAAACTCAGAAAAACTTGCATTGTCTTTCCCTTCAAGTGAGCTTTGGTCTCTGGCTCCTGAATTCCCCTGACCTGGTCTCCAGACCTACATGAGTCTCGATTCTGGCCTTACTTCCTCATCCAGCCTGTCAGAGTCCAATCTCCACCAGAACACTTGCCACCCCACCCACATTCACCCCAAACCTGCCCCTGTCTTGGCATCTTGCGGCTTGTGCCTCAGTCTTGCCAAATCCTCTTCCCAACTGTTGGAAGATTGAGTCTTGTCCTTTTAGGGAGGTGCTGAAGATGGTTGAAATGTTCAGTTCAGTTCATCCAGTCACTTTTCGTGCCTTCAGAATTGAATCCAGACTCATTAGACTGGTTTCCCTGTGTTTCACACCTCCCATTCTGTCTCATCTCTCCTTCCTCCCAGATACCCTCCACCCCTCTGTGCTCTGGGTCAGATTTCATTCTTTTCCGCCCACATGGCACCGTGCTTCCTCTCTGTGAGTCCGTGACAGCCCCTGACTTCTATAGCGCCACATTACCAGCACCACCAATGTGTGTGTGCCCACCTGCCCACCTTCCTTCTTCTCTGCACTGTTCACCTCATGCACACACCATTTGCTTCTGTGTTCTCATTCTTTAGATCAATTTCTTAATCTTTACGGTAGATGACAAGTTCCTTAAGAACAACAGTAGTGGGACCAAAGAGGTAGTCTAGTGGGCAGGACACTTGTCTTGCTTGCAGGTTTGATCCCCAACACTCCATATGGCCCCCCAAGCACCTCCAGGAGTGATCCCTGAGTGCAGAGCTGAGAGTAGGCCCTGACCACTGTAGGGTGAGCCCCCCCCTGCATTTTTTTAAGCAGGGTTGTGCCTTCTTCACATATTCCGGCTCCAATTTCCCTTGGAATTTAAGAGCTTAGACTAACCATCCCTTCTTTTTGAACATGGGGTAGGGGAACTTTCCCAAACAATGCTTAAGGAGGCTTGGAACTACCACCAGTGACAGGTGAATTTCAGCTAATCAGTTCGGTAGTTAAATGTGAGGGGCCCAAGAATGCTCAGGCCCTGCAGGGCTGGCATTGCCTGATGTGCTGGGGTAGGGGCTGAGAGGGCTGGTCTCCAGGGCCACACCTCGTAGTGTTCAGGAAAACAGGGGATAATGTGCATAAAACCTGGGTCAAACCCAGGCTGAACACATGCTAGACCTGAGCCCTAGTCACTGTTAATATAATGGTTAGCCCTAACCTCCGAGCTGAGTGTCTCCCAGACTCTTCACTGGACCTTCTACTCCACAGCACTACAATCACCCATTGAGTATCAGCGGAAAGAACGAAGCACAGCTGTGATGAGGGCACAACCTTCAAGGGTACCTCAAGCTAGCCCCCGGCCATATTCCTCTGTCCCCGTGGGCTCTGAGAAGCCCCCAAAGGGCCCCAGCTATAACCCGCCTCTGCCACCTCTGAAGATATCTACCTCCAATGGCAGTCCAGGGTTTGACTACCACCAGCCTGGGGACAAGTTCGAAGTCAGCAAGGTAAGTGACAATCTGTTACAACCTCACCTCACTGAGGGCTCAGCCTCTGGGCCTGCTGTGTGAAGAAACATTTTTTTGCTGATTATTTTAGCAAGAACAACCAACCTAGTCTCGATTATTTCTTTCTTTCCCTGGAAACTGAGCAAATTAGGCCAATTTCCTCTGGCTTGATTGGACACACTGTGTATAACCACCACTGTCATCTGCAAAAGCACTATATGCACATAAGATATTAATGTAGTGCAATTATAGCCTCTGCCAAATAGAATCCTTGCATGGCTCATTAGAGCCACAGCTCCAGGGTTGGCATCTGAGGAGCTCACCCGCCAGAACACTGAACTGAGAATGTGCTAGCAGTTCTTCACTGTCCATTGGTTGGCGTGGCAAGGGGAAGTTGTTCATCTCTGTGAATAGAGAAGTCAGCCATGAGTTAAACATTTATCCTAGATAATCCGCAATTCAAACATCAGCAGGCCGAGAATCTCTGCCTTAACTGTAGACCCCACCTATACGGCTGCTTTGCCCATACAAGGTAATTGGAACAGGAGGGAAAATGGGAAAACTGCCAGATTAGGGAGCAGGAGATCTGGTCTCCGTGGCAAGTTCTGTGACTGACTTGCTCTAGAACTTCAGCCAGTCCCTGATTGCTTTGGAACTCAGTTTCCCTAGAGCTCCAAAGGCAGGTGACAGGGGGCAGCTACAGTTTTGACCTACGAGCTCGAAAATCAGATCATTAGATAAGACCGATTTATCTTTTAGATTGATTTGGTATTAGATTGACTGATGCCTAATTTTATCACATCACTTGGGAATTACTTTCCACTGTAAAAGCCCGCAGCCTCAGAAACTGAGTTGGAAGCACATGAGCATCTTGTCAAATTTCCTGAAGAGTTTCTGGTGCTCCCAGCCGCTGGGAGGCCACCAGGCCTCCCTGGGAGAACCAGGTCTCAAAGAAGCTTCCCAGATGTACAGTCATGTGAAAAAGTCACAGAGGCAGCACCTCTCTTGTTCAGGTATAGGGGGTCACACTGTGTGTTCAACTGAGTTGAACTCAGAGTTCAGTTCTGTCTGGAGTTGAGTCAGGGTAGGTCATGGCCTTGCCTTTGAACTGGGGAAACGCCTCGTTGTGACATCTTTTTCATAGAAAGTCAGAATATAGGGTAAGACTGGTGCTTTTTCTAAAGGAAAGAGAAGTTTTATCAAAGAGTCTATTCTTTCTGTTGGGAGACTGTGACCTCTGACCTGACCTCTGCCCCATCTTCACTCCACAAGAAAAATAACTGATCCCTGGGCCACACTTCCTTCCATTAGTCATGCTGCTGGTGGGAGGGCTGTGTTAACTGCAGATGTGTTCCTGACTTTGTAGACAAGGAAGTGTCTGCGGCCGTGGTTAAAATGTGGAGTGAACATTGCTGTAAGAATACATTGAGAGTGGAAAGATAGTTCCAGGGTTAAGGCGCTTGCCTTGCATGCCAACCTGGGTTTAATCCCCAGCACCACATGTGTCCCCACAAACACCAGGACTGATTCCTGAGCACAGAGCCAGGAGAAAGCCCCCAGACGCACGAAAGTTAATAAATAAAATGAATCTCATTCCATTGCTCCAGACAACCACCTGCCTGTTCTTTCCCCTGAGCACGAGGCAGCCTGTGTCAGGTTGCAGAGCCAGTCATGTGACACAGCCTTCTCTGTGCCCCTCCACCCTGTCTCCTAGCAGAGTGACCTGGGCAGCTGCAGCGGGACTTCGTCCATGGCCGTGATCAAAGATTACTACGCACTGAAGGAGAATGAAATCTGTGTGAACCAAGGGGAGGTGGTCCAGGTCCTCGCCGTCAACCAGCAGAACATGTTCCTGGTGTACCAACCAGCCAGCGACCATTCCCCTGCCGCTGAGGGCTGGGTCCCAGGAAGCATCCTGGCACCCCTCACCAAAGCCACGGCAGCCACAGAAAATAGTGACAGCAGCATCAAGTAAGTGCCTCATTGGCTTCCCTGGGAGAGGAGTATGTGGATTAAAAAAAAAAATCCCAAAGTAAGAACACAAAAAAGTCACAAGCACACAGTAGGGGTCCACGGCTGCTTATTGCAACCGTGCCCGCAGCCGCGGGCTGGAGGGGGCCCGGTTCTCTTTGTCAGTGACGGGTTTTCTTTTCGTTGGTGATTTTCTGTTAATTTTTTCTTCTCTCTCTCTCTCCCCCTCATTAAGAACAGAACCCTACTGAAACCCTAGGTGACAAAAGGCATGCCTTCCGTTGCTCCATTTCACCCTCCACAGGACTCACTGGACTGGACTTCTATTTATAAATTGTATTAAGTTACTGATATATATATTTTTTGATTGACACCAAAAAATGACCTTAGCACACATGGCAGACCTGTGTGGTCCGAGGCCTGCTGCTGCTCTCCAGAGAGAGGGGACTTTTTGGTTGTCTGTGGTGATTCCTCTGTACAGATTGTAACTTTTTTTTTAATGTTCCCCTTCCCCTGTCACTTTAATATATGTTCGTGATAATTTGTAAGATATTTCCTTCTTTTGGTTGCGAAGCCCCTTCCGAACACATTCCTGTACAAAGTATTTTGCACTATTTAAAGAAAAACCCATATGGATGAAGTCAGGTCGTGCAATACAATGATACAATGGAGAGTCACAATGGTCATCCTTGTACCTGTAATGTAACTAATAATTTTAAATGTACTATTTTAAATATGTAAAATAAATTTTCACCATGAGCATGTTTTAATGAGGTTAAAGACTAGTTGACCCTTTTTCGCCCCATTTCACCATTCTGGGACTTTTAAACATGCAAACAAACAATTCAATTTTTTTTCCTGGATTTTAGGGGTCGGCTGAGTACCAGAGCAGTCTTCCCACACACACAAAGGATCCCCCTGTGGCCAAGGCACTAACACCAACCCTGCCCCGCCCTCCTAAATGCCCACTGTTGAGTGAGGGGAGGATCACCAGGGCTAGGCTTTGCAGTGGCATGGAAATGAGTGCCCTCCGCATGAATCTTCCCTGGCCGGAAACAACTTTGGAGGCTGCCTGGTGGGGTACCCCTAGAGCTGCACCTCCTCGGCCTTTCTCCCAGTGGTCAGAGGTGGAAGCTGCCTCAGGGACAGGCCTCACCCAACCCTCCTGGTACTACTAGCTGAACATGAAACCAAGAGTGGCTCCTAAGGCCATCAGCCTCATCTGATTCTAATGACTCTTGGTTTGGGTGCCCCTTAAGACCCCTGGGGAGGGATTGTGCACTTGTCTAGCACACTAGGCAGTGCACTTGTCTAGCACACAGCTGACCTAGGTTTGATCCCCAGCACCCTATATGGCCCCGTGTGGCCCAATATTAAACAAGAAAGGAAAGAAGAAACCCTGGAGATAACACCCCACAAGGCCTTACCAGGGCATAATGATTGGTGACCTAATTACCCCAGCACTCAGCCACCCCTCTCCCAGCATTTGTTCACACCTTCCAGGAAGAGAAGGCTCCAGGAACATCAGGCTGGGAAAAGAACAGGCATGACTGCAAATTGATCATTTGGGTTCCATGCCAGCTGCTCTTGCCTGGGGTGGTGGGCTGGAGCAGAGACTCCCTGACTGGGGGTGGGGATGGGGGTGGTGGTGGGGGGTGGAGGGCAGCATCTAACAGTGGGGAACTCTCACCACATGCTCCCCCAGGTAAGCCCACATCAACCCTGGGGGTCAGAGTTGGTTGTGATGCAAGCAGGATAAATGCCTCTGAAATCCTGCTTCCACGGCAGCCTTTGACCAGGAGAGAGAAGTGCCGCCAAACCATGATGGCGAGTTCTGGGAAGAAGATGCTGAACTTGAGTCTGTCCTGCCAACTGTGTGCTCTGAGTTTCCTTCTGCACATTGTTTGTGACATTTCTAGCTTCTCATCAAGCATTCTGACTGGCCCAGAGGGTGCAAAAAACACCAAAACACACTCGCCCCACATGCACTCACATGCAGTCACACCCTGTGCTGTCCACCCTGGCCTCAGAGCAGTGATTGGGGGTAAAGAGAGGAGGCAGATGCCCACAGAGTGAGCAGAGGGATGCTAAGGTTAGCTTCCTAGAGTGCCTCCCACTCAGCATGCAGTCAGAGCAAGGAGCTGGGGCGGGGGGGGGGGGGGGGGGGTGGTTTGGAGAGCCAGCCTGTTCTGCAGGTATGAGGGGTCTGACCAAGAGATGCCTTTCTCAGGAGCCCACTTGCTTTCCCCAGACAGTTGCAAATATGACAATACTTGTACTTCTCCTCCAAAGATTCATTGTTGGGTATATGTGTTAGTAACTGTTTTTTTGTTTTGTTTTGTTTTGTTTTGTTTTTGCGTACTCCTCCCTAGAACATTCTCCAACTCCTGACATCTGTGGAGTTTTGTGGCGCAGATGTGATATGTTTGGGGGTATCCTTCTGCCTCCTAAATTTCATATACTTCTCTCACCCTCATGAAGGCTCTTTTCGTGGGGCCCTGAAAGTAGAGGCCAAATGTGACACAAGGAGCTTGAGGGGAAACCAGCCTCACTGTTTCCAGACCACAGAAGTGTGACTTCCAAACACTGTTGCCACACCTGAAATTGATGACATCTCCGTAGGGTCCCAAATGTTGGTTGTCACTCGACTTTCAGTTTCTTCTTTGTCTATAAGTTTTGACCTGGAGAACTCAAGAGATCAGCCTTGAACAGCTCATTCCAGGCCAATGGAAAAGTAGCTCCCAAACTCTCCTGGTTAAAAAGAAATTAGGGCATTGGTCCCTCACCTCTATGTGAGTGGGTTTCCCTCAGCCTCTTTGTCCTAAACCATCCAGATTAATGAGTCAAGGTACACTGTTAAGTTAAATAACTGTGTGTATACTGAAGTGTTAGGAGTGACCACATAGGGAGAATGAGATGTGGGCCTTTGGATCAAATATTGCCCCAGGAAAGCACAAGTCGCTCCTTGAAAAATATACTTGCTTATCTCAGTTCACCACCCCAGCTCCCTGCCCCTTGATTCTCCTCTCCACTTCGAGGGATTCCTTAATCTTAGGTTCAGAACTTCCCTTGGTAGAGTTCAATTACCCATGCTTTCCTCAGATACTTCAAGCCAAACTTGTACATCTAGCAGAAGGGGTCAGAGTTCATCCTCTCTCACCTCCTACTAGAGGTGAGATCAATTCCCAGCCACCTTGGGAGCTGGTGTGCAGGTCTGGGGCCTCTGAGCCAGGGCCTGACTGGAACACCTCACCTACTGACCCACCCACGGCCTCACTCTGCCCTGACCTGCCATTTTGATTGGTGCATTTTTTGGTACAACAGGAAGTCATGTTCATGGCATACTCTACGCATGAGAAAGCGGGCGGAAGTGGAGAGCACGGGTAAAAATGAAGCCACAGGGCCTCGTAAACCCAAGGATATTCTGGGCAACAAAGTCTCTGTTAAAGTGAGTAAGGAATTCTTGGAGCTGTGTCCCACTCTCACCTATTCCCACCTGCAGCCTTCTTACAAGACATTTTGGGTGGATGGGAATTTTTTTTCCTAGTTTGGGAAAAAGAGGGGAAGTAGTTTAGTAGGATTTTGCATGCAAGATCAATTTATTTTATATTTTTTATTTCTCCTGGCAACTTCAATTCAAATAAGTAAGTATCTTTCTCTCTCTCTCTTTTTTTACCTTCCTCTTTACTTTTACCTGTACACTGTGCAGATGTTTTGTAGCAAAATTATCTGCAGCATTATTCTTTTAGAAATGCAAGATGCTTGTTCATCCTAATGCCCTCAAAGCCACCCATTCCGTATCCCAGATTGGAGGGATACAAGCAGGTTAAAGAGATTAGGGGTGTTTTCCAGACTCCCCAGCCCCATAAAGGCTGCGGGTGAGAGTTTAAGGGCCACTGTGTCTTTGGTCCAGTTTGATTTCTTTTCCCCAGAATTCAGACGACATCATTTTTAGGCCTGTGCATGGGGGTAGGGAAGGGAGGCACATGGGTGAAGCTCCCGTTATTGCTTTGTAATAATCCACCCATTACCCTGACCACACTGATTTTAAGCTTTGGTGGACCCCTGCAGCGATGCGATGTTTCCTGTGAGTGGGGCCCTCCAGACTGAGGGAATGGGATGTTTAATATTGTTGGAATGTGGGATCAGCTCCCTGGCACGTTTTTTTCCTCCTCCTGGGCAAAATAAGACAATTGATACAAACCTTGATGTCCTACTTGGGGAAAAGAAATTGTATTCTCTCCATTACTCTGAACCGGGCAAGCCCACCTCTCGGAAGGCGGTTTCAGTTCCGCGGCTCCCATGTTTCATGCGGTTGCTTCCATTGCTATTTCCCATGAGAGGAGCAGCTGCCCGGGCCTCAGCCTCCTCTCCCTAAAAGCAGCATGTGTGCCATGCTGACTGCCTGGGTGTCCTCTGCCCGGATCCCATTGCCCATGCTTCTCCAGCACTCCTCTCCTCTCGAGCCCACGCTGCTATGTTCTAACTGTGTTCTCTTTCTCCCCCTTCCTCATGCTGCCCACCAAGGAGACGAACAGTTCCGAGGAGTCAGAGTGCGATGATCTTGACCCTAATACTAGCATGGAGGTAGAAGCAGCTCTTGTCCTATTTCCTACGATGATTGTCTTTTGAAATGTGTACATGACCGTGACCTTGCTGACATGACCGGCTAGTCACAGAGAACACTGTGATGGAGGGGCACCTCTGGGTATTCCAGACACACACACACACACACACACACACACACACACACACACACACTCACCTTCACGCATGCATACATGCACTCACACCCCTCCATTCAGCTCAGTTTTGAGGAAGAACTCTGCCTAGCTATCTTTTTCAAAAAAAAGCATCTGGTTCTCTTGAATATTTGTTAAACGTTCTTAGGTGGTTTTGGTTCTAGGTTAAAAATATCCAGCTTCATGATTGGAAGCTTAGAACACTTCCCCCACCCGCACCCCCTCATGGAAAACAGCGCTATAAAGAGTAGTTGTTTTCTTGTTGAGGCAAGAATTCCTCCCTCTTTTTGATTTCTCCCTTTCCCTTTCCCTTGTCCCTCCTTTTTATTGCCATTGTCTGTTTCTTCAGCTGGGACCTATCCTTTCCCCAAGGCTCCACAAAATATACTCTGTGGATGAGCCAGCCCCTGGTCACTGTGTACTACTGGCTGATAGTGTAGGAGGTGTGATGGGAGCAACTGCAGACCCAGCCTTGGCCCTGCCCCGGTTCCGGGCAGCAGCTGTGCCTGCCTGGGAGGGGAGCAGCCATGAGAAGCCTCCTGCCTTCCAGAGCCTGAGTGACGGGAAGGCTGGAGCACTGTCCAGCGACCTTTCTCACACTCTCGGGTTGCAGGGTTGTGGGAATGGCACAGTACCTCCACCAGGAAGAGCATTCAGTCACCCCAACTCCTAGTCCTGCTCTGGGGTAGAGCAATAGGACTCTCCATGACTGACCATGATGAGCTATGAATGTACAGATCTGAAGAATTCAAGCAGGGAAGGAACTGGCTTTCTCTGCCCTCATGTCTTTTAGTATCAAATCAAATTGAAATGATTTATGCTTATCTGTGGTGCACATCACTTCTCTTGTAGTACCACCAAAAAGTTTAGAGATGTTTAACCCTTTCCATTGTATAGCCCTAAGCTTGTCACTTAACCAGGTGGACGTTTGTATTCTCACTTCACCCAGTCCCAAAGAAATCTACCACCCTATTCTGACAACCGCCACAAAACCCAAGAAAGGGAGGAAGGGGCAGCCCAAGAAGGGGCCATGAGCTGAACCAGGTTGGAGAGGTGTGGCAGGAGGTGGGCATCCTGGCAGGATAGAACTGGACCTGACCCCTCTGTGGGAGGGAATGGGGTCGGCTTTCATAGCTTGGATGTATTTAGAGAATAAGGAGGCCTGGCTGGCTTCCAGCTCAGCTTCCCTTGCATTTTATAGCTTAAGCACCAGTTCCCTGGGTCCAGGGCCATTGACTGGAAGGTGCCCAGAGGTACCTGTATCTGTGGGCCTAACTGTTATTACCATGTGTCAGAAGCCATCCTAGCCTTTGGAAGCTAGGCAGTAGTCAGCAGGTTCCATAGCAGCTTAGAGCATATGTGCTTTGATAGGCAGGAGAGGAAAGGACGACTTTCCCACATTGCTGCTTTAAGATAAGTGGGGAAGAGGCCTGAGAGAAAGTGCAGGGGTTAAAACTCTTCCTTTGCACATGGCCAATGCTGGTTTGATCTTCAGCACCATATATGGTCTGAACACCACCGGGTATGATCCAAACTCCAAAACTTAAAAAAAAAAGGAAAAAAAAGAGTAAGAAAAAAATGTATGTGTGTACAGAGGACTGTGAGGCCAAGTGCGAAACACAGTGGGAAGGCTAACATAGAATCATACAGTGCGCTTCACACTTCAGTTGGAAAGCCCATGTTTGTGTGTGTACACAAAGCACACAGCTTATCCAAGGCTGGTATGTTCTGGGTGAGATGAACGTCAGCCAGGCACCCTGGGGACAGAAGCACTCAATGTCACTGTGTCCATGATGGGCTATGCGTGTCCCAAACGTCTTCAAATATAGTCACTGAGGCAGAGAAGTCAATCGAGGAGCTCTCAGGGGCTGTGGGTGGAAGCTGCAAATGCACTGGGGACTTCAGCTTCTGTGGTAGGAGTCAGGCACCAGCAAGACCCCGGGATGCACTGCGTCTTACAGTCAGGTTTCAGTGGAGAGGCAGAAGCCATAGGAGTGCGCGTCTCGGCTCTGCTACCTGCGTCATTTCAGATTCAGAGAAGATTATGGAAATCCCTTTCCCCCTGGTGCCGGGAATTTCCTCCAAGGATAGGTAAGTTGGCTGTATCTCCAGGACACTGCAACAAAACGTGGTGCTGAACAGAGTGGCGCTTTCAAGGCCCGACTCAAGGCGTTTGCCAGGGGCCACCTCCTGAAGGCCTCTGACTGCTAAGTGGCTAGTTTAGGGCTTTGTGACAGGGCCAGTTCGGGCTGCCAGCCTCTTCTGAGCCTAACCACCATCCTAGGGGTGGGCAGCCTCTGCTCTCAGCCTCTGTGTCTGGACACCCAACTGGAATCCCAGCCCCATGCAGCCATGCCCCACCCCCCCATGCCTGACAGTGAATGGGTGCATTTCTCCTGCCTATGTACCAGTGATGTCATCCTGGCTGCTCTCGTGGTTGGTCTGAGGGGTTCCTTTAAGGATCAGCAGCTGGAACAGAGCCACCAGAGCTGGGCTGTGTCCTACTGTGCTGAGGGACATACATGAACACATCCTTGCAAGAAAAAAGTCAAGCACTGGACAGGCTAGAAATGAATTTCCCACAGCTTTCCAAGCACCCCTGCACTCCCAAGTCTGTACCCCTTTCCTCTCCCTGCAGAGAACCCCTTCTCTGAGGCAGCCCCTCCTCTTGCCTCTACCTCTGGAAGACACCCAGGTCTGTGATCCCCTTTTTGCTGCTGACCCATGGTCACCTCAGAATTGTTCTAGAACTGGCAAGGAACAGTGATCACTTTGCTTCTTTCCCTTAATTGACTAACTTTGGTGATCAGAATTGAAGGGTCATTATGATGAGAGGTGTTTTCACTTGGTGAGAAAAGAGGCTGGAAATCAAACGCTAACTGGTCCTGGGAACAAGTTGATTCTTTTTTTTTTTTTTTGGTATGGGGTTGAGGTGAGCCACACCTGGCTGTACTCAGGACTTACTCCTGGCTCTAAGCTCAGGAGTCACTCCTAATGTGCTCAGGGACCATGTGGGGTGCCGAAGAGCAAATCCAGGTCAGCCGTGTGCAAAGCAAACACTGTACCTACTGTACTATCGCTCCGCAACTCACTACAGTTTAGACTGTTGCTTGCCTTTTGCTAACCAAAGTACAGGTGTGGTGGTGAGCCTGGCACCCCATACCCACTGCCCAGCTTTCTCACCCCGCCTCTGCTCAGCGTCTGCCTTGAGCCCCATGCTGGAGCCAGGGCCAAGGATTGAGGCGATTCTGAGAAGCCTAGGTCCTTTCTGAGCAGTGCTGGATTCTTCGAGGAGTCAGGCGAGCAGGCGCCCACCTCCAAGGCCTGCTCGGAAAGTCTTCATCTCTGCCTTGCCCTCCCCCACAGCAGGCACTGCCTGCATCATCACGCCAGTCGGGACTGCTGGCTGACTCCCAGACCCGGGCCTCTGTCTGCCAGGAGAGGGATCCTTGGCCAAACTACAGTCAATTAATTAAATGTAACTTAGTGTTTTGGTTTTGGTTTTGAATCGATACCACCCTTGGCTGAGAAGGTTAGTCCTCCAGAGCAGGAGGCTGCCACAGCTCCAGAGACTCCATCCCTACCCCAGCTCCCCCCCGGGCCCGGCTGTGTGCCAGCCCCGGGTGGGGCTGCACTCAGCAGTCACCTCAGGTTGTGACCTTGTAGGATAGAGTTCTGAGAGGCAAAGGGAATAAAATGCTTGGAAATGTGTCTAACTGCGGAGGAAATTTCCAATTAGAGTAAGGATCACAGATATTCTAGCCCTCGGAGCCTGGAAACCTTCAGCTAACCCCATGCCCTTTACTTTGTCTATAGAGAACACGAAATTCACCATTTTAACCATTTTCAAGTGACATTTAATGCCACCTATTGTGCAGCCATAGCCATGAGTCATTTCAGACCATTTTCATTCTGAAACTGTGTACCTACTAAACGTTAATTCCACTTTAACTCTCTCTAAGAGAGAAAATGGAGACAGCAGGAATTTTAAGTCTGTACATGAAAAGTAAAGATTTTCCTGGTTTCCCCTGGCCAAACTCTCCTTCACCTTCCTGTTCCCCACCTGGGAGCACCCCATCTCCGGGTTGGTTGAAATCTACAGATCCCTAGGGGCCCAGGAGAAAATACAGTTTGTAGGGTACTTGCCTTCCACACGGTCAACCATGGTTTGATCCCCAGCACCACATCTGGTCCCCCCAGCCCCACCAGGAATGATCCCTGAGCATAGAGCCAGGAGTCAGCCCTGAGCACTGCCCAGCATTCCCACCCTCCCCCCACCCAAGAAAATAAATCTACAGATCCTTACAGGCTAGAGACCAACCTTCTAGTACCAATTTTTCTGTGTGAATTTGACATTCAAGTCTCCAGCTCAGCACAGAGGGCCACCATTCCTTCCCCTCTCAGGTTTCCAAGGCTGAAGTGTGACAGGTAGCAAACACACAAAGGTGCTGCCCACAGAAGAAACACAGACCGCCTGTCAGAAAGCCAGGTGTGAGGAAGCCACTGTTCCTCACGGGCACCATTGGCGGTGAGACTGGGAACAGTGCCTCCAACCTGGGCTCTCAGGGAGTGCACAGCCTCCAAGAAACAGCATCCATGTGCGCCATGCACAGCCGCTCCGACAGGCTGCAGCTCTAGTGCAAGAGGACTTTATCTTCTGATCTGCCTCTGCACCAGCCCTCACAGACGTGAAGTGAAGATTCTGCTCGTGCTCACGCACGTTGCTTCGTTGCTTCGCAGGAAACCAAGCAGCCACAGCTGCTCCTGAGACGGCACCCGAGTGTGCTCCCAGCCGAGGGAAGGTTGTGAACGACCCATGCTGAGCTGCCCTTCCCTCCCCCAGAC